GCTGCGCTCTCTCCCACGTCACTAGTTTCATAAATAGGTTTGTAGTTCTTTATTTTAAATCATTGACCTTAGTATTTTGTTCCTAAGACCGTATCAATATCATGCATAATTAGGTTAAGATTAAATCCATGAGTTCAAGTTCCGTGTATAATATGCGGGTAAAATACTTATCCGTTATTCTCACCAGATTTTCCTAACGTCATGCCAGATCATTGTAATTGGTTCCCGTCGCTTCTGTTGAATTCCTGATAGGCTAGGAAGTTTGTTCCTCGAGGTAGAGCGTTTATAATTATTAAACCATTAATTAGAAGTTGTTCATTGCAATGTTATTTCCAATTATTGATTCACATTGTTCGTAATACTAAAGTCATTTCCGATAGGTTAGTAATTAAATTCTAATATGTTTATACATTTCCTAGGTAATGTTGTGGTGAGCCTATCCTACCTGTTTGCTTGTCCTAACCTTAGCAGCACCTACATTATTATCTCGTAAGTCATTGAGCATTTATTGATAAGTTCTTACATAATTTGTACTCTACAGTTCACTCTAATTTAACTTTATCTTGTTTAATTTTATCCTAGTTAGTATATTATTGTCATTAATTAATCCGTCATTTGCTAATAATTTGTCCCATTTTAGGACATTCCCCTCCCACGGATTCTGCCCTCGTTGGCAGCATTGAAGGAACGTAGCCATGATATAGCAGCTAAGCAGCTACCCGTCCACTGTACTAGAGAGAGAGAGAGCCAGCCATCCCGTTATAATACACACTAGTTCCCATTGATCACCCAGCTACCCAACTGATTTAGGGTAACGGACTTTACCATGAGATTGAACACTTATTTTATGTACTATTGGATTGGTCTTGCATTATTTTACAATCCTTAATCACTTGTTTTAATTGGTTATCTTCCAGATATAAATTCATCTAAAAGTTCGAAGTTAAATTTAAAACTCTAGATATAAATTAACCTAAAAGTTCGAAGTCCATAATTATAACATAAATTCCTGTCATAAATCTACCATTGTACACTGAGAGTTTGGGTTTGAACTATGCCCTGAGTGAGTCTCAAGCCGGGAGGTATTCCATAATATCGGAACCTGAATATCCATACTCTAGTTAAAAGGAGCCCATTATACGTAGTTAAATTAATACCATCACAAATTAATGAAATATAAAAAATAAATAATCTCTAGAAGTCATGGAAAATTGGAGCAGTAAATAGGCCGTTAAGTAAGTTGTCGTGCTAAAATCCGAGTACGCCACTTAACAATGTAGCCCTAATGCGGCTCTCTCTGTACAAATTTTGGTAGCAAAATTTCAAAAATCTGGAAGAGACGCCAAACTTTAGTTTGCTTGTTTTTCTTGTTAGTGCACCGTTAGTGCAATTTGTTTATTTACATTGATAGTAGTTGTTGCAGCCATCACCATAGAATGATGAAGCCACAACTGAGAAGTTTTGATGATGAGATAATGGTTTAGTGTAGAAGTGGAAAAGAATTTATAAGATATTGTGGGGTAGATATAATGATGATGATATTTGGGCAAGAGGGATATGATGATGAGAATTGGGAAGAGATTTGGTAAATGAGATGAAGATGTGATGATATTGAGTAGTCATAGATATGATGATGATGTGAAAGGGAAAGTGGTGATAAATACCATAGGTAATATACGGCCGTATAATTGGGTAAATATGGGAATGATGAGAGGAGATGTATGATAAAGTTGAGAAGATTACGGGATATTATGAGATGTTGAAATGTGAGACAAGTATATTATGGGGAGATATATTAAACTGCAGTATAAACTATTAGCCGGCTAAAGGGATACGGGGTTCAGAAGATGTTGTGAAGTTAATGGGAGGAGGTGCTATAATGGTTGTTGACAAGGCGTTGGTTTTGATAAGTAGATGGGCTTCTTATCTGTTATTTGGGTGTTGTGATACCGCCAAATGCGCGCTTGGTGGTTAGAAACACTTCAGATCCAGTGAGACCCTTCGAACTTTGAAACTAAGATTGGCAACATGATTTAGCGTAATAGGGTATGCGGACGTGAAGAAGAGAAGATATTTGAATTATGATGAGACAGAGGGAGATTCGATAAAGGGTTTGTTGTTTAGAAATAAAGATGATTTAGTATAATAGGGTATGCGGATGTGAAGATGGGGAAGATGAATTCAGATGTGACGAGATGATACGAGTAATATGAGATTTGATAAAGGGTATATTGGTTAAAGTTGGCATAGTTTGAATTACGTTGGGAGATAAGGGATACAAATTTTATTGGATGCAGGGTATTTTAAGTTGTGAGTGTTGGCTGGTGGCTGCACAGTTATTAATGCAAATTGATTGTTTACTGCATCAGGCAGTATTATTATTTTTTATCTTGAAGTTTCCGCAGAATACTGAGACAGGTTCAGCAGCTGCAGTAATTCAAGTATTATACAGAGCGTGAAGAAGAATAACGCCTGTCTTTTAGTTACGAACAAAGTTGAGAGAACTTCAAGGTCAGATGTTTTAGCGAGAATAAATAAGTTAGAATATTGTTTTTTTTTAGCAGCAAACCCTTTTGTGCTGTGTTTTAAATTGTGTAACTATAAGTAGATTCGGCTGATCGAAGTATAGCCGCTAGTTGTAAGAGAGTTCAAAGTCAAAGTAATTTTAGTTTTGGGTCAAGGGTTTGTGGTATAGAAAGTTTATCTGTCGTAAACATGTACATTGTACAATCATTATTTCATAATACGATAGTGCCAATATCAGTGCCAGACTTAGAGAAACACCTGAGCTACAAAATGAACAACTTTTAGAGAGGGCAGACCTTCTCATCAACTGCAAAAACGCTTCCCTATCTAGGACCCAAGCTGTCAACGCTGTGGATACAGCCATCACACCGGACATTAATGACACGACCAATAAGTTAAACACTATTATTGATTTACTATCTGTTAATGCAATCAGCCAAGTAGTACCACGAGACGTTCAGCCTGTAAACCCAAATACCGATACTCCCGCTTACAATAATGGCCTCAACCTCCCATACAATTACCAAGGATCACGTGTAAGCATCGGACTACCTAACATAAATTACTATGGACAACAGTCCAACAACTTTGACAACATGGCTTTCAGCAGCCAAGATGCACGCTACAATGACCACTACAATGACCACGAGGACAATGACTTTAATTATAGAGTTATAGGTATTAAGTTGTGGGCATGTATATATTTTCTTTCTTTTTTTTTCTTTTATTAAAAAATTAATTTATTGAAGCTTGTGGCAACAAGTCTGTATATTTTAATCATGACACACCAACATTTATACCAGATTCCTGGAAATTCTGTGATTCCTGATAATGGCATTAGTGGCTCTAAATTTCTTAGAAATTCTGAAATTCTCTGTGCAAATTTAATTAGTGTGTTGATTCCTAGAAATCCAGATCCACCCGTTATATTAAAATTTATTAAACCTTATGCACAAGGAGTGGGAAGAGGGATGAGCTCCTTATAATCCCAGCGTGTAACAGGGGGAGGTGGATCCGCGAGGATCCGGGGACACGTTAAATCGTAATATAGTGCTGGAGAGTAACTGAAGGCTCCCGTGTCTAACGAAGTGTGAATTAACACACTGCCTTGGTACCCTCTAGTCGGCCGTGTTTTCGGGCTACCTGGTGTTCAGTACCTGGAGCTTGTCACCCCCAGGACTGGACATACGTCCCCAGGCAAGTGGAACACGGTGGTACGTGGACGACAGTCCACACCTAGCTATTATCTTATCTTTTTGAACCCCACAAAGGTGGAAAATTACCCAGAAAGGGAGTAAATAAAAATTTGGAAGATAAGATCTAGTGAACAGGCAAGGCAAGAGAAAACGGTCAAAGTTCATAGTTGTGACAGCTAAGTCCTCTATGGATAAGACCGTCGGTGGAACCTAGGAGTGCCAATCCCACTTACTGGTCATCCATCGCTACAGACTGGGTCCCTTGCCGGTAGGTTCACATATGCGTAACATCCTTTTATGTAAAAGGTTGCGTGATCTGCTCAATGTACAGTCGGGCCTACATAAGCTAAAAGCGACTTGATCTTTATGATCGTCCAGTTAGTAAGCGAATGTAGCTGTTGTGATCGAGGGGATTAAAAATTGAACCTCGGGAAGCAATGGGCAGTTCTTTAAACTGCGGGAATGGGGTCAGCTCAGACTGCGCCTGGTTACATATATGGATTAAGTAAGAATAAATAAGTAAGTAAGGGTGCATAAAAATGAAAGTTATGATTGAATAGAAGCAGTTGAAATGTAACAGGAGGTCGAAGACCAGAAGTGTTAGAGATTTGTTTTTTTTTAAAAGATAGTTAAGTTTTTTAATGTAAGATATTTTCTTTAAAAATAAAAGGAAGGGGCATTATTTTATAAAGTTCTTAAATTATAGATGGGGTTGTTATGACGGGGACGTCCTAAAATCGATCGGGGACATGTTAGGGACGTGTGTCTAGTACCTCAGAACTAGACGTTAAGTTGAACCCCAGTATGCTGCGTTAGTAGTAATTAGATTTGTAAATATGTGGATTAAAATGGTAAATAAACCATGTAAATTTGCAAATATTCACCGTAACATAAAGTGTCATAAAGATGAATTAGGTGAGAACTTATATGATTAAGATGAATTAAGTGATCATGTATATGATTAAGATCTGATTGGAGAGATTTGCAGAGCACTGCAGCCATTGGTCAGAAAGGACATTTAGTGTTATTAGAATTATTTATAAAGAAATTATTGGATTAATAGAGTTATTGAATTCATCAATTAGTGGAACGATATTTTAACCAGTTTTAAAAACCGGTATTTGTATTAATAAACCTGTTTGTTTGTAATAACCTGTTTGCAATAACCTGTTTGTTTGCAACTCTCCTGGACAACGCGTGGACCGCCTCTTCCACTGGAGCTCCTCTTCCACAGAACACCTAGAGTACAAAAGATGAACACACAAGATTCTCACGGCCGTCTGCCTTTAGCCTTTTCTCGAACGCCTCTCCTATGATTGGTTTTCCCTACACGGCCCGGAATGTTAGTATGCTGCGCTCTCTCCCACGTCACTAGTTTCATAAATAGGTTTGTAGTTCTTTATTTTAAATCATTGACCTTAGTATTTTGTTCCTAAGACCGTATCAATATCATGCATAATTAGGTTAAGATTAAATCCATGAGTTCAAGTTCCGTGTATAATATGCGGGTAAAATACTTATCCGTTATTCTCACCAGATTTTCCTAACGTCATGCCAGATCATTGTAATTGGTTCCCGTCGCTTCTGTTGAATTCCTGATAGGCTAGGAAGTTTGTTCCTCGAGGTAGAGCGTTTATAATTATTAAACCATTAATTAGAAGTTGTTCATTGCAATGTTATTTCCAATTATTGATTCACATTGTTCGTAATACTAAAGTCATTTCCGATAGGTTAGTAATTAAATTCTAATATGTTTATACATTTCCTAGGTAATATTGTGGTGAGCCTATCCTACCTGTTTGCTTGTCCTAACCTTAGCAGCACCTACATTATTATCTCGTAAGTCATTGAGCATTTATTGATAAGTTCTTACATAATTTGTACTCTACAGTTCACTCTAATTTAACTTTATCTTGTTTAATTTTATCCTAGTTAGTATATTATTGTCATTAATTAATCCGTCATTTGCTAATAATTTGTCCCATTTTAGGACATTCCCCTCCCACGGATTCTGCCCTCGTTGGCAGCATTGAAGGAACGTAGCCATGATATAGCAGCTAAGCAGCTACCCGTCCACTGTACTAGAGAGAGAGAGAGCCAGCCATCCCGTTATAATACACACTAGTTCCCATTGATCACCCAGCTACCCAACTGATTTAGGGTAACGGACTTTACCATGAGATTGAACACTTATTTTATGTACTATTGGATTGGTCTTGCATTATTTTACAATCCTTAATCACTTGTTTTAATTGGTTATCTTCCAGATATAAATTCATCTAAAAGTTCGAAGTTAAATTAAAACTCTAGATATAAATTAACCTAAAAGTTCGAAGTCCATAATTATAACATAAATTCCTGTCATAAATCTACCATTGTACACTGAGAGTTTGGGTTTGAACTATGCCCTGAGTGAGTCTCAAGCCGGGAGGTATTCCATAATATCGGAACCTGAATATCCATACTCTAGTTAAAAGGAGCCCATTATACGTAGTTAAATTAATACCATCACAAATTAATGAAATATAAAAAATAAATAATCTCTAGAAGTCATGGAAAATTGGAGCAGTAAATAGGCCGTTAAGTAAGTTGTCGTGCTAAAATCCGAGTACGCCACTTAACACCAAGGCTCGAGATCTGAACCATGGCAGGCCCTCCCAAAGCATCAGAAGTCACGAGATCTGAGTCAAGTAACCTGAGCCAAGTATCCAGCGTGCTAATGGTGCGTTCCATCAGCTTTGAAAGATATGAAACAGTAGAACTATAAGAATGCCCATCAAGATCCGTATCTACAAGGCTAACTTTCATTGGCTAGACGGACACGTTATCAGAATGCCAGAGACACAGTTTCCCAATTTTTTACTGAATTGGAAACCAAACTATGGGAAGAGACTGAGAGGACGACTCCGTAAACGCTGGATGGCCTGTGTTCTCGAGGATGCGGCTGACAGGTGTCGATAACATCAGCAGAGACGCAGTAAAACAGTAAGTTCTAAAACGAGTGGAATGGAGGAACATGCTACACCGTAGAAGAGATGTGTGTGATGCAGGCCACTCCAACAACTAGGAGGAGACCTCTTCAATCTTCATGTAGCATGTATGTATTAATATTTTACCGGGGTAAGCACAGGGCTCCAATGCTCTAAATAACAGTGGTCATGATCTATCCTATAGTGAATAGTGATAATGACCACAGTCCCTTTTGTATCACGTTGTGACACCCACGGTCGTTTCACTTTATCGTCCTGACGATACAGGGGGAGCCGCGCACTACGTGCGCGGCGGGTCATACAACGTATGACAAAGTTCCCTGCGAAGAAGGAGAACCTGAAAATCCGATCGTTGAGTTCAGTTGTCGTACTTCCAATTTGGGTGCAGTTGTGATATGACCTGGGTTCAGTTGTCGTTTTGGGATTTAAGCTGATTGGTCACCCAATTTAGCTGATTGGGTGCCTGTTAACTGCGTGGGAACTAGGTTCAATTGGGTTCAGTTGTCGGTCACCCCTGAAATATACCTTGATCTCATTACTGTCGAGTAAGTGACTCAACGCAGCTTTTATTCTTTTATTGGTTAATTACTTGCGTGTGATTCACGGTATAAATAAAGCATACATACAACCCTTTATCAAGGTAAGTTAGAATAAGCAAAGAATAGATTTGCAATCATCCTGTATAACCTCTTTAGTATATTTATTTAAGATAGCCTATGATTTAAATAACTGTACTTTCAGACCGTACATACAGCTGAAGAGTTCGAACATCGGCAACTTCTCCGTCAGTGCCCTCCAATCATTCATCAAGTTCTCCAGAGCACTCATAGTCCGGCACTATCCGTCGTGGAGTAGAGTCCGCGGCGGAGCCGCCGGACTCCGAGCGGACTCCGGCGGTGCTCCGCCAAAATGTATTTCGTTTGGACTCGAATACATTTTGGCGGACTCCGAGCGGAGCCGAGCGGACTCCGAGCGGACTTTAAAGTCCGCCGCGGACTCCGAGCGGCTCCGCAGCGGCTCGGCGGAGTGTCCGCCGCGGACTAAGCCACTAGGCGGACTCCGGTCCGCCGCGGATTCCGGCGGAGTGGTCGGCGGACTCCGGTGGACCTCTCCGCCGGACTTGAATCCGGCGGAGTCCGGCGGAGCTTGGCGGAGTCCACCGGGCTCGGCGGACTCCGCTCGGAGTCCGCCGGCTTCCAACAGAGTCCACTGACTTCCGACTTCCGACTTCCGACCCTCGGCTAAATTTGTCACGTGACATACAACATAGCATTTTGCGATATTGTGGTCAGATGAAAAGGTCGCTAGTGATAAACCTTAACCATTACCCTCACAATGTCAATAGTGTACAACTCTAGTCCTAACCTTGACCATATAATGTATAAACGTTGACCCTAACCCTCCACCAAACCGTCAGCAGCGAAATATCAATGTCATTGACTGGTCACGTGACTAAAACAATTTTTGTCATATTATCTCATATAGGGAAGCGTTTTTAGTTTTACCCTACACGTTGCATGTGGCGTCATTCGGCCGGATCTCAGCAAGCAAAAATGCGTCGACCATCACAAGACGACGCCAGCACTTTCTACGCTCTTCGAGCTCCGATCGTCCTGTGACGAAGTAAGGACGAAGCCTGAGGTCCTCAGCTCAGGTGACATCGACCACCGATTGAAAATTCAGAGATTTTTTGACATAAAGGTCAAATGTAAAACTAAAATCTTAATGTTGATTGATTGACGACGTCAATTTTTGAGCACAGCGCGAGCGCATGCGGAAAAAGGACCGCGTAGCTAGTCATGATGTTGATAAATTTTACCTCATCCCATTAAGGAACGCGCGCTGGGTAAGAAGAAACCTAGCCAGAGTGGAAGTCGGCGCCCTCATTAAATTTTTAAAGAAAATCGCTCGCCAAAATTTGTTGGACCAGGACGATGTCCTAGCCTGGCAGTGGCAGCTCATTGCGCGGCGCGTCGCAACGAGCTTCGTTGTTCGTCGACGTGCGACGAGCAACGAAAAAAATTGTGTGGTGCGTCGGGTGGCACATCTTAACGGGTGATACGCGTATAAATTTCGATCGCTGACGTACAGCGAGCAGCACAGCTGCGAGTGGCGTCAGCTAGTAGGATTTCATCCTACAAGGCACATCGCGTTCACCTAGCTAACCAGGTCATTTCCGCCTCCGGCGGTCGCGCGCTACTGCAAGCGAGAGGGCTATAGTTAGAGCAACACATCGCGCCACAAGCTAAATATTTATCAACATCTTGACCAGCTACGCGGTCCTTTTCCGCATGCGCTCGCGCTGTGCTCAAAAATTGACGTCGTCAATCAATCAACATTAAGATTTTAGTTTTACATTTGACCTTTATGTCAAAAAATCTCTGAATTTTCAATCGGTGGTCGATGTTACCTGAGGACCTCAGGCTTCGTCCTTACTTCGTCACAGGACGATCGCGATCGGAGCTCGAAGAGCGTAGAGAGTGCTGGCGTCGTCCTGTGATGGTCGACGTATTTTTGCTTGCTGGGATCCGGCCGAATGACGACACATGTTGTAGCGCGATGCACTACTGGGTCGCCCGCGCATCAAGTAATGCTTCTCGCAACCACGTATGCAGATCGGCGAGATGCGAAAGATTGACATCGTGAATCAACGCCACATGCAACGTGTAGGGTTGATTCACGATGTCAATCCTTCGCAGCTCGGTGAGGCACTATGGAAGCGCATGTGTGTCAAAAAAATAATGATACACATGCGCTTCCTAGGTAGCGTATGTGTGTCAAAAAATTTTTTGATACACATGCGCTAGCAGGTTTATCATGTAAATCATTATGTGGCCCATGTGTGTCATTTTTGTAAAATTGCTGTAAAATCTCTATTCAATATTCTAATCGCTATCTTGATCTATTTATATATGTATTTTATCCTTATCTCTATTTTATCTTTAAACTCCTCTCCGCCGATCGCCTCCCGTGTGAAACGAGCGCGCCTGCACGCTGCAGTGGCGCGAAAGCACATGGTTAGGTTAAAGCGCGTGTACTGTTGCTGCACAGGCTATAATGTTAACTGACGATGTCAATTCATCGCAGCTCGGCAAGGCACAGTAGCACATTTCACCGAATTAGCGTTGCAAGAAGAATAATCAATAATTGAATGCGCGGCGCGGCACAGTAGCGCATCGTGCTACAAGCTATAATATTTATAAACATACTCATTGGAGAATGGAGCTATGGAGGAATGAAGCTGCCTGCTGCGCGTAGCATGACAGCTACCAAGAATTGCATATTGAAGCGTGTACGCCGACGCATGACAGGCAAGCTCCTGTGTCCTGGTTTCGTGCGCGAAGATCGAAATGCAATTATTCGTGTATCAAGCCAACTTCCAAGTGCCAACAATGTGTTTATTGTTAGAAATGATAATGGACTAACCCGTTTCGGGATACTTCGTAGCAACTAGCAAGCTTGCCGCGCATCGATCTAATAATGCTTCTCGTTGTAAGGCCACCTTGTTTGTCGTTAGATATAGGCAAAATGCACCCAGCACCCCTGTTGCATGTGCCCTGCGGACCTCGCTGAGCTGCTATGCAAAGCGAAAAAGCAAAGACTCAATGGATGGTTATATTAGTGGTTACCCATACCGTGATGGGTGCTACATGCCTAGCATGAAATATTTACTTACTTACTTGCACTTAATTTTTGTATTATATGTTCATAATTGATAATCATATAAATTCGGCGGAATGACAGGCTTGAGGCTGAGCGCGGCCCAGTAAACTTCGCATCGAAAAATCCAAACGAGTAACATCCGTCAACTAATAGTTATATGTAATAATTGAAAACAAACTTTGCTTGTTTACCTGAAATTAGAATTTTATACAATTAATGTAAGATTGAAGTCGTGTTTTTACCAATTTCCCTACACCATCCGGTAAATTAATTACCATCAGCCCTTCGTTGTGCCTGTGGGCTGCGCGGTCGTATCGTGGCTTTCGCCACGGTATAGCGGGGGCGAAATGAATTACAAATGAGGATCGCGACGCGTGACTTGTAAGTTTAACTTTATAACCTACCAGGACGCGCGCCGAGTTGGACTCGTCGACGGTCCTGATTAATATTTGAAGCAAATATTTTACGACTACAAGTATCAGTGATACTATCACCCGTTAAAGAAAGGATTGGAAATTGAACTCGCCGGTACGTCGATGGATGATGCTTGTCTAAATTTTTTCGAAGTAACACG